CGATCCGCTCTTTTGTTTCCTTCGTCTCCTTCTCTTCGCCTCTGTTTCCCGTGGAATCGCCTCCACCAGAAGTTCAGATCGAAACACACACCGCGCCGTGTAATTGATAAATTACGATCGAGCGGATCCAACCTCTCGTGGTGTTGGGTCTCTCCCCCCGCTCACTTCCGTCCTCTTTTCCATCTCTCCCGATCATATATTTTGATTTTTTCTCGGAACAAGAACGCGTAGATTTTTTCGATCGGTTCCCCGTTGTCGAACGTCTAATTCACTAGTTTCTATCGTTTCTCTCGCTTCAGATGGACACACCCGTGGCGACAAACATGATGGGAACGTACATTGGGTCGCCGAATCACACCACGAATTACACACAGGTGAGGAAGAAGAAAGTTTCCTAAGCCTTCCTACTGCGGATTTTTCGGAAATTTGAAAGGAAGCAAGTGGTACAATTGCAAATTTCTGTGTTTATTCTAGCATTTTATGGGTAAAAATGTCCATTTGTTGTGAAATAGGAGCTCCTTGAGAAATATCCTTGCTGATGGCTGACGCTTATCCGAAATACCGTAGACGCGTGGCTGTCGTCTGAACTGGAATAGTGAAAGAATATCGAGAAATAAAGAAACGGCAAGGTTTCAAAAAAATTGCTTTTGATGTTAGGAAGAAACTGAACGGAGACTGAATTTTCGACAAAGAAGATATTCGCACAATTCTAGTTCAGACGACGAAGCAACATCTACCGAATCGACTCCAGCCAGTTTCGAGAAAAACGCGTTTAAAGTTTCAATTACAGTTTAAGACTACGTAAAACCGCTTCGAAGGCGTATATTGATCAATCGGCATATACCTCTGCCAATTTTCAGCATTAACCCTTTGCACTCGGAGATGATTTTGCTACAGGAAAGGTTGAAAATCGGATCTTCTTTGAAATGCTTTAAGACTACACTATTTCATTTCAATATTCAACGTATTCTCTATTTCACTATGGTGAAGAAATTTACGGAGGCCCGTAGATATGGCTCTCTGTCTTGATTAATTATTTAATGTCGCTTCTCAGTCGCCACTCGATTGCAAAGGGTCGAGCTTTACAACTTCCTGGACATATTTTCCAGATGTTAAATTATAAGAAAATGCAAACAAATCAATTTCTTCAACCCCGTCACAGTACGAGTCTCGAGGGTAAAGGAACGCTAGGAGAATTGTTTAAAGTATAACGCAACAAAGCGAGATTTAATAGAACCGTGTGTTTACGTTAAGGTGCGCCGCACGGTGTGTAACGAGGTTGGAATTTTCCCCCTTTTTTCTTCTTTTCTAGAATGACACGATAAATGTCGGGGGTGAATTGGGCAGCGGAGACGCCGGTTATTTCAGCACGAGTCCGCAGATGCCGTACCAGCCTACCACCACGACAACCACCACGAATAACTCCACCACCACCCAACAGCTCACGCCACAGACGCCCAATACACCTACGATCATTCTCACCGGTGGGTTCTTGCGAAGAAATTTGTCACCTGTCTATGATGTACACTTTGTCGAAGAAGGTCTTGTTACAACTTGGTAGAATTTATTTAGCGTTGTGTAATTTTTATGGAGGAGGTGAATGAATAATGTTTTATTTAGAAACGTAACATTTACTATTACTTGAGATGGAAAAAGAATAAATTTTCATACAGTATCTAAGAATTGTACAAAGAAATTTGTACAAAGAAGCCTCCAAAATGGAAGTTAGTTTCTTCTTTAGAAGCAAGTAGAAAAGAGGTTACTCAAAATATTTCTATCACAATGGAAAATATCTGTTTGTTTGATTAAGTTTGTAAACAAATGAATAAGGAAAAAGAATAATGTAACAGAAATGAGATGAAAAAGATTTCTGTACAGTATCTAAGAAATTAGCAAAATTTGTATAAAGAAGGCTCCAAAGGAGAAGGCAAGTTAGTTTCTTGTTTGCAAGCAAATAGATAAGTGGTTACTCAAAATTTTTTTCCTATAGAAAGTATCTGTTTGTTTAATTAAGTTTGTAGATAAATGAATAAGGATGAAGAATAATGTAGCATAAATGAGATGAATAAATTTTCATACAGTGTCTAAGAATTCAGCAAAATTTGTACAAAGAAGGCTCCAAAGGCGAATAAAAGTTAGTTTCTTTTTTGCAAGCAAATAGATAAGTGGTTACTCAAAATTTTTTTCCTATAGAAAGTATCTGTTTGTTTAATTAAGTTTGTAGATAAATGAATAAGGATGAAGAATAATGTAGCATAAATGAGATGAATAAATTTTCATACAGTGTCTAAGAATTCAGCAAAATTTGTACAAAGAAGGCTCCAAAGGCGAATAAAAGTTAGTTTCTTGTTTGCAAGCAAATAGATAAGAGGTTACTCAAAATATTTTTCCTGTAGAAAGTATCTGTTTGTTAAATTAAGTTTGTAAATAAATGAATAAGGATGTAGAATAATGTAGCATAAATGAGATGAATAAATTTTCATACAGTGTCTAAGAATTCAGCAACATTTGTATAAAGAAGGCTCCAAAGGCGAATGCAAGTTAGTTTCTTGTTTGCAAGCAAGTAGAAAAGAGGTCACTCGAAATATTTTTCCATGGAAAATATCTGTTTGTATTTATATTTATTTGTTTCATTATGTTTCTAAATAAAGTAAAGTAAATATTATTGGGTTGGAACGAAAGTTCGTAGCGTTTTTTAAGCAAAATTCAAAGACAATGTTTATATATTTGTAGATGAATTTGTTCAACCACATATATCCTATTTTCTCTCACTATTTTGTTTCATAATTCCGTATAATTGCGTTTTGCCAAACGCTACAAACTTGTGTTCCAACCCAATATTTATCTACTACTCTCTCTATCAAAATAACACAACGCAACTGTACAAAGACCTTCTTCCACCAAGTGTAATTGCACAGAAAGGTATCTTTGAAAGAGCGAATCAAAATTTTCCAGTCGATTCTGAACAAAAATCTCCCCCGAAGATTTTCACTCTGCTCTAAACTAACATTGCAAATTACCAACTAACGCAACAAATATAGAGATTTCTGCTCAGAATCCGCATAATCGTCGATCGAAGTAACCGACGAGAAATACGGCCGCTTCGATAGCTGGCAGAAAAACAGCGGTCTATCTCGATCGATATCGATCAAACGAAGAATTAAGAGGCGCTAACGAGAATCGTATTGGAAAGACACAGACTGTACGCAACGTCAATGTATAATTCTCCATTCGCAGACTTCTCTGGCGCGGACGACCTGACGAATCCAGAGTTCGTGAAAGATTTGGGTACGGCGATGATGGGCGATTTCGATCCAG